ACAGGCGGAACCCTGGGGTAGGAAGCCTGTGGGATTGAGCCGTGCACAGTATCCCTGTGCTCGCCCTCCTCTTCCTCACAGATCGGCCGTTCCACCGAGAACATGATCGACTTTGTGGTAACGGACACATCGCCTGGAGGAGGGGCCGCCGAGGGCCCCTCTGCCCAGAGCACCATCTCCCGCTATGCCTGCCGCATCCTCTGTGACCGCCGGCCGCCCTATACTGCCCGCATCTATGCTGCTGGCTTTGATGCCTCCAGCAACATCTTCCTTGGAGTGAGTGAGCCCCCCCCTAGGCAGGGACCGGCACTTTATCTGAGAGTGAGCAGAGGGGCAGGGTGGGGAGGGTCAGTGTCCTGGGGTGATGGACCAGTGGGCAGTCATCATAACCGTGACCTATGCTGGCAGTGGCAGTGTCACTTAAAACATGAGCACAGTGAGACTCCAGGACTTCAGGTGATGCCCCCGGCCATGCAGCGCCCATTCCAGTCCTCTCTGGGCTCCCTCTGACTGCGAGGGTATTGGGGCAGCATCCCGGGATCGCGGCCTGCTGGGGGCCACTCGGGGATATGATCTGATCCCACATGTGGTCCCAGGAGCGGGCAGCCAAGTGGCGGACCCCCGACGGCCTGATGGACGGCTTAACCACCAATGGGGTCCTGGTGATGCACCCAGCAGGCGGCTTCTCTGAGGACTCGGCCCCGGGTGTCTGGAGGGAGATATCAGTCTGTGGGAATGTGTACACTCTGAGGGACAGCCGCTCGGCACAGCAGCGAGGGAAGCTGGTAGGTGGCCTGCTCCATCCTCCCCGCCCCCGACTCCTTCCCAGACCCTTCCCCCTGATCTCCAGCCCTCCTACACAAGGGAGCTCCAACAGGTTCCATTTGGGGATCATGCCCCACTTGCCCCACAGAGAGGACCAGACCAGTGGCTCCAAAATGTAGCCCACATACTGCTGGAGGTCTATGGGGTGAGGCGCGACAGAGCACACATAAATGCACTGTGCAGTAGAAAGTGGCCTTAGGGATGCCGACAGCTTAAAACATCCCAGCCTCCTGTGAGGATGACACTTGGCCCATGTGTGAGCAGTTTATACCGAAAGTGTTGGCAGTTTGCAACGTGTCTCTCACGTTCGGATGGATTTAGCTTTATTATCCTCTACTAGCGGGAAAGGGCCCTTGGAGTAGTTCTCACGGAGGTGACAGTGAATGCTCCACGTGGCACAGATCAGAGAACTAACATTAGGAGCTGGGACAGAGTCCTAGAGAGAGGCAGGGGCCTGCCCATGGTCACGTGGCTAAGCTCCTTAAATAGGCCTCTCCGAGCTCTTCCAGGGCTCAAGCACACCCAGCAAACAGATGCACAATCTCAGGGAAGAGCATGGCTTCTCTTTCCAGAGCACCAATTCTACGGGGAGATTTGGAGAAACATTATCTTTAAAATCGGTGCGTGTGAATATTTCACTGGCACACACTTGTTGAGTACCTACTGTGTTCCAGGCACTGTTCCAGATGTTTACGTTGATTGATTCATGGGAACCACTTGAGATAATGGGATGCAGACTCCATCTCGAGGATAAGGAAATTAAGACACAGAGAGGATGAATTACTTGACCGGGGATGCAAAGTCAGTAAACAGTGAAGCCAGGAATCACACCCAGGCACGCTAGTTCTAGAATCATTGCTTTTAACCACAGCCACTGGGACAGCTGCCTTGGGCTAAGCCCCCCAGTGTTTCTCAGATAGAAGGGTTTTCCCACTTCTGCCCTTAGGGGAGACCCTGGGAACAACCTTGTTTTGGTCAAGCTCTCCTGATTTGACAGATAAAGTGACCGAGGCCCATGTCACACTGTGAGGGACAGTGCATGCCTGGGAGCACTGACTTGCTCTCCCACATGGGTTCTCAGGCCTCCTGGCTCCTCTGCCCCAGCCCACCCCACTGGCCCAGGGTGTTCTCTCCAGGGAGGTTCAGTGGGATGGATAGGTGGCTTGGCTGGGGTGACGGCTGCCCGATGGCCAGGAGTTCGGGGGCCTCTTGAGCAGTAAGGCCCTTCTGCTGTCTCTGGCAGGTGGAAAACGAGTCTAATGTGCTGCAGGACGGCTCCCTCATTGACCTGTGTGGGGCCACGCTGCTATGGCGCACGCCAGCAGGGCTGCTGAGGGCACCCACGCTGAAGCAGCTAGAGGCCCAGCGGCAGGAAGCGAATGCAGCACGGCCCCAGTGCCCCGTGGGCCTCAGCACCCTGGCCTTCCCCAGTCCGGCCCGTGGCCGCACAGCACCCGACAAGCAGCAGCCCTGGGTCTACGTCCGGTGTGGCCACGTCCACGGCTACCACGGCTGGGGCTGCAGGAGAGAGCGGGGCCCCCAGGAGCGCGAGTGTCCTCTCTGTCGCCTCGTGGGACCCTATGTCCCCTTATGGCTCGGCCAGGAGGCCGGCCTCTGTCTGGACCCTGGACCACCCAGCCATGCCTTTGCACCCTGCGGCCATGTCTGCTCTGAGAAGACTGCCCGCTACTGGGCCCAGACACCACTGCCCCATGGCACCCATGCTTTCCATGCTGCCTGCCCCTTTTGTGGGGCCTGGCTCACCGGCGAGCATGGCTGCGTCCGCCTCATTTTCCAGGGGCCACTGGACTAGGCTTTCCCGGGGCCCTGGATGCCGTGCCCACCTGCCCACCTAGGTCCCCCACCTTCTGCAGCCCAGAGGGAGCTCTGCATGTGGGACTCTACCTGCTGGCACATAGCCACACCGGATGGACGTGTTGGATGGGCTGTGCTCCTCCCTCTTATCTCTGGTCCCCCAAACCCCTACCCCAGTCATAATGATGGGGCCCTCAGCACCAGCTCTGTCCCGGGCTTTCCTGGGGTGTCCTACATCATGCCGCCTACACTGTGTCCCTGGGGGAGTGAAGGGGCCGTGGGCCCCTGACCCCCAGCTTAGGCTGGCTGTGCCCCGAGCCTGCCGACCCAGCTCCAGATATACTCACCCTGCTGCCGCCCTGGGTTCCTCTATAAACCTTGCTGCTCAGCTGCCCTCGCAAATCCCGCGTGTCCAGCATGAGTGCAGTGCCGCCAGCCCCTGCGTGAGTGATGGGTGGGCAGCAGGCTGGGACTGGCATCTGCTGATACCCACTGTGGGCTGGACCACTATGCCAAGTGGGCTCTGGGGACAGACACAATCAGACTTGGTTCGCTGCCCGGTGGAATTCACAGTCTAGTGGACGACAGACCAAATTACTGAATGACAGCACAGTTTCCTGTGTGCCAGGATCAGAGAATGGCCAAAGGCCGTGGAGCAGGTCTCACTAGAAGGCGGGAGGGTGAGGGGGGCTCGGGTGGGAACTCCCCACAGGAAGGGGAGTGTGCTGTGGGCAGGAGGGAGGCTGAGCACAGGCTCAGGTAGGAGGAAGCAGAGAACTGAGCGAGCGGTTGAGTGTCTGGGGCAGTGGCAACAGGGGGCAGAAAGGAGGCCGGAGCAAGAGGTTGGGGCTGTGCTGATGGGGAAGATGCCGGATGGAGGCTTTGGGACCTCATTTGTGGACAGTCAGGAGCAGGGGGAAGAGGGGACTCTCACAGTGCGCTGGCTGACAGAAGGGCTGGTATTGCCAAGTGCCCACCATGCCCCTTGCTGTGCTGCTGCTGCTAATAACTTTGTTAATGGAGCATTAACTAGGAGGTTTTGCTATTTGATCCTCATAGCAACCCAGGGAGGAAGGTGTTACCATTTCTATCTAAGATTCTGAGATTAAGGCACACGCGCCAAGTCACACAGCTAGAAAAGATTCAAATCCTGGCCTTAGCCCGCCCTCCTCTCCATCACACTGTGCTGCTTTCCTTGAACAGGGGTGGGAGAAGTTGGGAGGGCAGCTCAGGTAACTGGAACAGCATTGCAAAGGTGTGGCAGGAAAAATGCTTGGCGACAGAGGAGCCAGGTCTGGAGGGATGAGGAATGAGGGGTGTGGATGTTGGGCTGGGGCCTGGTGGCCCTTGGTTGCCATGAAGACCACGTCTAAACTGGACCCCCACTCATCCTAAGTGTCACTTCTTCCTGAGAGCCAAGGCAGCCTCAGTGTGCTGCTGGGGTTGCTTCCAGACCATTCCTGGGGGCAGCAACCTCGGGAGACAGGTAGGTGGAAGTTCTGGAGATCCAAAAACCTGAAAAAGAGGCTCTAAGTACAGGCCTGACCCGGGCATCATCCCCAGTTGAAGACAGCTGTTAGAGCCTTAGGGAGTACAGATTCCAAGGGGAGGGATCTGCCCCGGGCCACACAGCTGGTGGGGGCGACAGAGATCAGACGTAGGGCTCTTGAGAGGACAGTAGGGCTCTTGAGAGGACAGAGGGCACCGGTGGGTGGTGAAAAGGGGATGTGATGAGCTTCAGTGCATCACACTGCCACAGTGGGGGAGCCCAGATGGGATGCTCAGGTGGATGTGGGAGTACTGTCACACACACACACACACACACACACACACACACACCACTAGGAATCCGGCTCTTCCCAGTTCTTTCTTCTGACCCTGTTGGGAATCAGTCAGGGGAATGTTCCAGTCCCATTCCAGCAGAGAACCTTAGTCTCTGGGAGAAGAGACAAGCAAAGAGCATGGAACCATCCCAGGGAGAACTCAGAGGTAGTGGTGGGGGGTAATACAGCCCTGAATTTGGCCCAGCTTTGCCCCTTCCCAGCTCTTGGAGCCTCAGTCACCTGTTAAATGGAATAGCAGTTACTACAACACCAGATGGTTGTGACTGTATAGAGAGCACCTGTAACACAGTAGGTACTTAATGTTACTTCCTCACATATCCCTCCTGCATTTCCATGGGGAAGAACCAAGGCTGGGGATGGTCATGACTCCAGTGAGTGGACTGCTCCATATGATTGTGTGTGTGTGTGTGTGTGTGTGTGTGTGTGTGTGTGTGTGTGTGT